TTTGTCCTTAAACACCTGGCCTATTTCACTCAGCATAATGCTTTCCAGTTCCATCCATGTTATTGCAAAGGGTAGTAGTTCCTTCTTTCTCTCTGCTGCATAGAATTCCATTGTGTATATGTACCACAATTTTTTGATCCATTCATTTACTGATGGGCACCTAGGCTGCTTCCAGCTCTTGGCTATTGTAAATTGTGCTGCTTTGAACATTGTGGTGCATAGGTTCTTTGATATTGATGTTTTAGGATTCTTAGGATATAATCCTACCAGTGGAATTGCTGAGTCAAAAGGCAGGTCCATTTTTGTTTTTCTGAGAAAATTCCATACTGTTTTCCATAATGGTTGCACCAGCGTGCAATCCCACCAACAGTGGACTAAGGACCCCTTTTCCCCACACCCTCTCCAACATTTGTTGTTGGTTGCTTTATGATAGCGATCCTGACTGGTGTAAAGTGGTATCTCATTGTGGTTTTAATTTGCATCTCTCTGATAGCTAACGATATTGAGCATCTCTTCATGTGTCTCTGGATATTGTGTATGTGCTCCTGGGAGAAGTGTCTGTTCAAGTCCTTTTCCCATTTTTTAATTGGGTTGGTTGTCTGCTTAGAGTGGAGTTGTATTGGTTCTTTGTATATTTTGGAGATTAAAACTTTGTCTGAGGTATCATTGGCAAATATGTTTTCCCATACAGTTGGTTGTCTTGCTAATTTAATACTGTTTTCTTTAGCCACGCAGAAGCTTTTTATTTTGATGAGATCCCATTTGTTTTTTCTTTCCGTTATATTCCTTGCTCTAGGGGACATATCAGTAAAGAAGTTGCTGCGTGAAATATCTGAGATTTTCTTGCCAATGTTCTCCTCTAGGACTTTAATGGTGTCATGACTTACATTTAAGTCTTTTATCCACCTTGAATTTCTTTTGGTGTATGGTGTAAGTTTGTGCTCAAGTTTCATTTTTTTGCACGTAGCTGTCCAGTTCTCCCAATACCATTTGTTGAAGAAGATATCCTTGCTCCATTTTATGTTACTGCCCCCTTTGTCGAATATTAATTGCCTGTAGAGAGTTGGTTTGATTTCTAGGCTCTCTGTTCTGTTCCATTGGTCTATGTGCCTGTTTTTATGCCAGTACCAGGCTGTTTTGATTACAGTGGCCTTGTAATACAGTTTGATATCAGGTATTGTGATCCCTCCTACTTTGTTCTTCTTTCTCAAAAGAGCAGCTGCTATTCTGGGACATTTATGGTTCCACATCAATTTTTGAAGTGTTTGTTCTATGTCTGTGAAATATGCCCTTGGTACTTTAATAGGTATTGCATTGAATCTGTAAATTGCTTTGGGTAGTATGGACATTTTGATGATGTTAATTCTTCCAATCCATGAGCACAGTATATGTTTCCATTTGTTTGTGTCTTCCTTGATTTCTTTCTTCAGGGCTGTGTAGTTTTCAGCATACAGGTTTTTTACCTCCTTGGTTAGGTTTATTCACAGATATTTTATTTTTGTTTTTGCTATATCGAATGGGATTTTTTCCTTGATTTCTGCTTCTGCTGATTCATTGCTAGTATACAAAAATGCCTTTGATTTCTGGATGTTGACTTTGTAACCTGCTGTTTTGCCAAATTCATTAATTAGTTTGAGCAGTTTTGGGGTAGAGTCTATAGGATTTTCCATGTACACTATCATGTCATCTGCAAACAGTGACAGTTTTGTTTCCTCCTTTCCTATTTGGATGCCTTTTATTTCCTTTTCCTGCCTGATCGCTGTGGCCCAAACTTCCAAAACTATATTGAATAGAAGTGGTGAAAGTAGACATCCTTGTCTTGTTCCTGATCTTAGTGGAAAAGCTTTTAGTTTTTGCCCATTGAGTATGATATTGGCTGTAGGTATCTCATATATGACCTTTATTATATTGAGGAATGATCCCTCTATTGCAACTTTGCTGAGTGTTTTTATCATAAATGGGTGTTGTACCTCATCAAAAGATTTTTCCACGTCTATTGATATGGTCATGTGTTTTTTATCTTTGCTTTTGTTTATGTGATGAATTACATTTACTGATTTGCGAATGTTGAACCATCCTTTTATTCCTGAGATGAATCCCACTTGGTCACTGTATATGATCTTTTTAATGTATTGTTGGATGCGGTTTGCCAATATTTTGTTGAGGATTTTAGCATCTATGTTCATCAGCGATATTGGCCTGAAGTTTTCTTTCTTTGTTGTGTCTCTATCTGGTTTTGGAATTAAGATGATGCTGGCTTCATAAAAAGAATTTGGGAGTTTTCCATCCTTCTGGATTTTTTGGAATAGTATGAAGAATAGGGGTTAGCTCTTCCTTAAATGCTTTGTAGAAGTCTCCTGTGAACCCATCTGGTACAGGGCTTTTGTGTGATGGAAGTTTTTTTTATTACTGCTTCAATTTCTTTTCCTGTTATTGGTCTATTCAGGTTTTCTACTTTTTTTTCATTGAGTTTTGGGAGATTATATTTTTCTAGAAATGTGTCCATTTTCCCTAGGTTCTGAAATTTCTTGGCATACAGTTCTTCATAGTAATTTCTTACAACCCTTTCTATTTCTGTGGTATCAGTTGTAATCATTCCTGTTTCATTTCCAATTGTGTTTAATTTGTGTCAATTCCCTTCTTTTCTTTATGAGCCTACTTAAAGGCTTTTCTATTTTGTTTATCTTCTCCAAGAACCAACTCCTGAATTCACTGATACTTAGAATTGTGCCTTTAGTTTCTATGTTATTTAATTCTGCTCTGATCTTGGTTATTTCCTTCCTTCTACTTGCTTTGGGCTGTTTTTGTTGTTGTTCCTCGAATTCTTGCAGGTGTAGAGTAAGGTTGTTTGTTTGAAATATTTGTATCTTCTTTACGTAGGCCTGTATTGCTATAAACTTCCCTCTCAGGACTGACTTTGCTGTGTCCCATAAGTTTGGGGTTGTTGTGAGATCATTTTCATTTGTTTCCAGAAACTTTCTGATTTCTTCCTTAAGTTCATTCTTCACCCATTCATTGTTTAATAACATACCATTCAGTCTCCATGATTTTGGGAGTTTTGGGTTTTTTCCTTTGGGGTTGGTTTCCACTTTCAGTCCCTTGTAGTCAGAGAAAATGCTTGTTTGGTATGATTTCAATATTCTTGCATTTATTGAGGCTCGTTTTGTGTCCTATCATGTGGTCTATTGCCGCAGCCCGCTGCAGCATGGGTGGTCGTGAGGCTGAGCGAGGGATGAAACAAAGGAGAGGACCAAATGCTCTGCTGGCATAAGGCAAGTTTATTGCGCAGTCTTCAGGCTTAAATACAATTTTGAGTATATAGAGGACAAAGGAGAAGCCTTCTGGCATGTAGTTTACTTTTTTGACTTATAAAGTTTATCTCTTTTCTTAGAGTCAGTATGTTCTCAGGCTAATATATTTTCTGGGCATATGATGTACAGGCTAAAGATATGAGTTGATGGGTAAGGAGAGGCGGCTAGTTTCTCAAGGGGTCAGAAAGCAGTCACAACTCAGGACAGCCCCGAGGCTGGAAACCAGGCCCAGACACCACGCCTGCGGTGCAGGACCCTATCCTCGACCCCTTACAGGCCTCCTGGGCTCCAACATCTCCCCCTTTTTTATTTTATATAATATAGTGGAATTTCATTTTTGGTTATATCTAATTTCTGCCGCTTTAGATAGACGTATAAGCCATTGATTTGGCTTACAAACACGCTTAGAAACAAAAATCACAAATTAGACATAGAAACACAGACACTGACATAGCCGTAACAAACAAAGAGTGACACCGGCACAGACACAGTTTCTCCTCCCACACAAGTGAACCTAATTTCCTCTCACACAGGCGAACCACGGTTCTCACGCATCTGAACCAAAAGTGACCTAGTCACTACTCCCAAGGGCATCCCCTCCTTTGGGAGCCCCTGGGTGGACTTCCGGCAACGTCTCGCCTTACCACCTCAGGGTCAAACAGTCTAGACTTCAAATGCAAAAGAGGATCCTCGTTACTTACGTTTGCTCAAGCAGTTCACATTCAAGGAGGAATTAAGACAGTTGGTTGAAATACAATCGTGACAGGTAAGATTATACATGGTATTCTGGACAAGCCGTAGATCCCCTGCAACAAATGCGAAGGGGTCAGGTACACAAGCTATGACAGATACATTTTTCTGGGTTTCGTCTACGGAGATAGTGTCTTGTGTTCCTATATGCATCTAAACTATTTGTCTCTTGGCTACGGTGAAATATTGGAGGGAGGCGACAGCCTTCCAAAGCATAGTCTGACTGGTCTGATTATTCTTTGTCTATATTCCATACAGCAAGTTCATGGGCCTGTAAGTCCCTTCTCGGTAATTACTCCAGTCACAAATTCCTTGATCACAAATGGTATGGTTAAGATGGCAAACTCTCCATGCCGGGCCCCACTGGCTCTGAGAGGGCCTTCTCTGCTTACATACCGGGATGTCAGGAAGAGGGGACCCCTGGCCAACAGTAGTGATGCTCACATTTCTATGAAGATAAAGCATGTTCACACCCCAGTGAGATCTATTAGTGAAATTACCATCTCAATTAGTACATCTGGAGATAAAGATACACTTTCCTGGTGTCAAAGAAAAGCAAATAGGTTGAGTAGTGGACAAACCGGTATACTTATACTTAGCTGACATGGGCAGAATATGCCCGGTAGATGGCGGGCTGAGGACCTGGGTATTGTTCACATAAACAGGCACAAAATCATTGTCTTCCCAAGTAACTGGATGCAGGATGGGAGGATTGGGAAGGAAGGCCCAATATTCTTCAGCCTTCACTTGAGTTTTCAGTATCCACAGAAGGCTCAAGATCAGCGCCAACTGCTGGAGTCTCCTCTGGGCTCTCCGGGGATGGGTGTTCTGCTTCTTCAGTGACATGGCCGCGAGTCTCCTTCGGAGCTTCTCTATTTTGCTCTTGGGCATGGTGGACACACCTCTCGGGCAACCACCGTGGGTACTCAGCGTCTGTGGGAAAAACACAAACATGCCCTCGGCCCCAAACTAATAACTGGGTCAGGCCCAGGCCGAGACCCATCCATGGGGTCTCTCCAAAATACTTGAGGGTAGTGCCGCATGCGCGGCCCCCAGTGCCTGTCTGCCGCGGACCGCCCATCCGAATCCATGGTCAAAAAATTTAAAACAAATAAGGAATGAGATACAAGCAATTTTGGAGAGTGGGGGCTATACCATCTCCCCCCTTTTAGTTTAGCAAATTGTTGTTTGAGAGAAAGGTGCGCTCGTTCGATGACTCTTTGTCTTTGAGGGTTATGAGGGATATCTGTCTTATGAAGGATTTGAAAAGAAGTACAGAAAGAGGCGAAGGCTTTAGTGGTATAGGCAGGGGCGTTGTCAGTCTTCAAAATTTTGGGGACACCAAGTACTGAAAAGCAAGATAGCAAATGAGAGATTACACTGCGAACGCTTTCGCCTGATAGAGGGGAGGCGAAAAGGAAATGAGTACAAGTATCAATAGTGACATGTAGATATCGAAGTGTGCCAAAGGAGGGGCAATGGGTAACATCTATCTGCCAGAGATCGTTAGGCTTGAGACTTTGGGGGTTAACACCAAAATGGGGTCCTGGAAGCAGCTGAGAACAGGTTGAGCACGATTTAACAATCTGTCGTGCTGCCTCTCGGGTAAACTGAAATTGATACCGAAGAGATCAGGCAGATTGGTGGTGAAGGGCATGGGATTGTTGAGCACGTTGCTGCTGCGAAAGAAAGACGTGAGTATGGGAGTCTGCGAGCGCATTCGATGTCGCCAAAGGTCCTGGAAGAGATGAATGTCCCTGAAGGTGACCAATAAAGTAGGGGGCTTTTCGCTGTCGAAGTAATTGCTGGATGGAGTGGAATAACTGGAGAACTGTACGATTAGAAGTCATAATTAAAGGGACAGTTTTTAAAACGGCTAACGCATGGACAATATATTGACTGTCAGAGTAAAGATTAAAAAGTTCAGGGATAAGGAGGAAGGCCTGATGAACAGTAAAGAGTTCGACTTCTTGAGCAGAACTGGAGGCGACCTGCCAAACCTGGGATTTTTCTGGGGTGATTAGAACAGCGCATCCATTAAATGAACCATCTGTGAACAAATTGACGGCGGAAGTTAAAGGGGTGAGGGAGAGATTTCTGGGAAAGATAAAATGGGCTTGAGAGGCAAAATGCAAAATCTTGTCCTTTGGAAAATGATGAGAGACCTGTCCTGAAAAGCCTTCAAAGGCCAATGGAAAAGAATCATTCATGTTTCTTAGCCAGGAAAACTGTTCGGAAGTATAGGGTATGACTACAACAGGAGGGTCTCGTCCTAAGATTTGGATAGACAGTAGCGGCTCTGCTGAACTCGTTCGGCTACTAACGAGGCATAAGAGGCAAGCGCCTTCTTTGGCGTTGCCGGGCCGTGGATCCACTGGAGTACTCCATGCTGGTAGAGAGCTCCTGTCCGGGCGATAGAAGAAGGTATTATTAACAAGGACCAAGGTTGTGAAATATCACAGTAAGACAATTGGGTGGACTGAAGAGCGTCTTCCACCAGCCGTAGGGCCTGCCGTGCGCTCGGGGTGAGCGCTCGAGGAGAGGCAGGATTGGAATCTCCGTTAAGTAAGGTAAAAAGAGGCTTAAGGTCGCCGGTGGTAAGTTTCAAAGATGGGTGTATCCAGTTGATTTCTCTTAGTAGGGGTCTGAAAAATCATGCGAAGTTCGCAGGTGCAAAGTATCAATCTGCAATTTTTGAGGGGAAAAAGTCAGGGGCTTAAGTTGGTATCCAAGATAGGAGTAAGGGTAATAAGCACTTTGGATTTTATCAGCTGCTATTTGCAGACCGAAAACAGCTAAGTCTTGTTTCATCCTAGAAAATGCTAAAATTAAGAGGTCATGATTGGAATGCGCTAGCAAGATATTATCCATATAATGAATGACTAAAACCAAGGGGAACCCATCTCGTGTGCCCTGAATAGCTTGCTGCACAAACTTCTGACACAAGGTAGGACTATTAGCCATACCCTGAGGTAAAACCTTCTATTGAAATCTTAACATTGGTTCCCGAAGGTCAGTGGAGGGAACACTAAAAGCAAATCGCTGACAATCAGAGGGGAACAGCGGAATAGTATAAAAACAGTCTTTTAAGTCAATCACAATCTTATAAGTAGATGGAGGGATGGCAGCAGGAGATGGAAGTCCAGGCTGCAACGCACCCATGGGGAACATGGAAGTGTTTACTTTCCTCAAATCCTGAAGGAGCCTCTACTTTCCTGACTTCTTTTTGATAACAAATATAGGAGAATTCCATGGTGATGTGGAAGGTTCAATATGTCCGGCAGCAAGCTGCTCCTGCACCAGCTTTCTAGCTGCCTCTAGTTTCTCTTGAGTAAGCAGCCATTGATCTACCCATATAGGGATATCATCTTTCCATGAAATAGGGTCAGCGCATGGGGCAGGAGTATCAATGGCCACTAGGAAAAAGACTGGGCAGGGATCTCAGGCTGCCAAAGGACAAGTGTCATCTGTTCTATAATGTCTCATCCCTACAGATTGACAGGTAAATGAGAAAGTATATAAGGCTGAAAGGTTCCCTGAGCTCTCTCGTCATTATTCCATTTCAAAATGGCTGAACTCTGATATGGGGAGGTGGACTGTCCCACTCCCTGCAGAGCAGTGGAAGTGGGGTGGAGTGGCCAGGAGTTAGGCCAACGCTCAAGCACGATAACAGAAACATCAGCTCCAGTACCTAGAATTCATTTAAAAATTTTTCTATTAATGGTTAAGTGATACTCAGGCCTTTCCATTTTTATGGCCTTCAATAAAAAGGCATCGGTGGACCCAAACCCTGACGCTCCTCGGTATGGTTGCATATAGGCTTTGTTCTGATTATCTATATAAGGGAGGAGCAATAGCTGAGCCACACGAGTGCCGGCAGGTAAATTGATTACATGCTGTTCAGTCTTGGCCATAATTCTTATTTCCCTAATATAATCGGCATCAATGACTCCTGGCGAGACTGTCAAACTCTTCATAGTAAATCCACTTCTTTTTAATATTATCCCTACAGTTTTTTCAGGTAGGGGCCCAAAGACATGGGTTGGTAACGCCTACATCCTCATGTCAGGAGTTAAGACGACATGTTCGGCAAGGCAAAGGTCTAGTCAGGCGCTCCCTGGGGTTGCACGTCGGAGCTCGGATATAGTTGTTTTTGCTCCATCCCCAGCAGATGACTGGAGGTCGCCATCGCCCCGTATACTAGTTGCGGGGCCCGAGGCTGGCCCCTCTTGTCGTTTCCCGACTGAACAAGTAATCTCCCTTCCCTATCTCTCTTAGAATAACATTCATTAGCCCAATGATTACCGCGCCGACACCGCGGGCATAAGCCGGGAGACTTCCTTCGACTGGTGATGGGTGCATTGGGATTATTAGAGTTGGAGTCTCGGCACTGACTCGCAACATGGCCCATCTTTCCATAAATATAACAGCTGCCTGGTGGTCCTGGTTTTCCCTTTCCTTTTCTCTTAATAGCTAGAAACTCACTAACTGTCTGTCCCTTATGGGCAGCAGCTAAAGTTATTCCTTGAATATATCGTGGTCCAATGTCTGCGCACAACTTGATATAATCATTCAATGTAGCCCTGCCCTTCCAAGGCCGCAATGCCGCCTGACAAGCGGCGTTAGCATTCTCAAAGGCCATTTCTCTAACTACTATAGTGGCGGCTTCGGGCTCACCAATAACACGCTGAGTAGCGGTAAGAAGGCGAGCTACAAAATCTTGGAAGGGCTCGTCAGGGCCTTGCCGAATCTTGGACAATTCTTCCTTTCTTACCCCTGTCTTCAGTAATTTCTTCCATGCCGCAGAGGCAGACCAGCGGATATAATCATATGCTTGGGGGTGAAAATTCAGTTGCTGCTGGGTATCTGCAAAATTCCCCGTTCCTGCTAATTGTTCATATGTTATTCCAAGCCTGCGAGCAGCTTCAGACCTAGCTTGTTGCTCACAGCTCTCGTGATATTCAGCAAGCCATAACAAATAATCACCCCCAGTTAACACTGCCTTACACATAGTTTTCCAATCTTGTGGGGGAAGAGCAAGGCTCGCAATAGTTTCCATGGTAGCAATGGTGAAGGGGGCCGTAGCCCCATATTGGGCACAGGCTAATTTTAACTCCTTCAAGGTCTTGTAAGGAATAAGCTCATAATCTTGCCACTGTTGGCCCTGATCATTCTGCCTCTGAAGGACAGGGAAAATCTGTCTCTCGGGGGAGAAACCATCTATTGACTCCCCATCACGGAGCGCGGGCCGCAGCGCAGTCTGCAAAGGCGACTCCTCCCGGGGAGGATGCGGGCGGAACCCCACTCGAGCTATCAACAGAGAGGTGGGATCTCTGGGAAACAGGATCCTCAGAAACAGAGGTCCATTCTCTATTTGCAACATTCTTCCCAGAACCCTGAGTCTGTTCCTGAAGGGAGTTCAACAACTGCAGAAGATCCTTAAAGAGCACAGCCTACTCTGATTTATCTTTCTTATCCTCTCTAGCTTCGGTGGCAACGAACGCTCCGTGAGAGGGCTCATAAACCGCCGCTCGTTCCTCTAGATCGTCCCAATTGACCTCCGCAGGGTCTGGATCTCTAGATTCAAGACCCTCAAGCTTAACATCCGGTTGCTCATGCCGCGGAGGCTGTAACGGCGGCGGAGGTGCAGATGGAAGAGGCGGGGGGTTGTTAAACAAATCCTCTGCCCAGCGTGTAGCCCGCAGAGTGGGACTGCCTCTACTCCCTTTTTCCCACTTATCTAGCTCAGAGTCCCCTTTCAAACAATTCCCCATTATTATGCTCTCCAACACCGCTCCCTGCTACTTTCACTTTTAACTTACCGGTCCCCCGTATCAGCGGTCCTCTCGGGGTCTCAAATCCTCACAATTTCGGACTCTTCAGGTCCCTGTTTCGGGCGCCACTCTGCCACAGCCTGCTGCAGCAAGGGTGGTCGTGAGGCTGAGCGAGGGATGAAACAAAGGAGAGGACCAAATGCTCTGCTGGCATAAGGCAAGTTTATTGCGCAGTCTTCAGGCTTAAATACAATTTTGAGTATATAGAGGACAAAGGAGAAGCCTTCTGGCATGTAGTTTACTTTTTTGACTTATAAAGTTTATCTCTTTTCTTAGAGTCAGGATGTTCTCAGGCTAATATATTTTCTGGGCATATGATGTACAGGCTAAAGATGTGAGTTGATGGGTAAGGAGAGGCAGCTAGTTTCTCAAGGGGTCAGAAAGCAGTCACAACTAAGGACAGTCCCGAGGCCGGAAACCAGGCCCAGACACCACGCCTGCGGTGCAGGACCCTATCCTCGACCCCTTACAGGCCTCCTGGGCTCCAACAGTCTATCTTTGAGAATGTTCCATGTGCATTTGAAAAGAATGTGTATTTAGCTTCTTTGGGATGAAGGGCTCTATATATATCAGTTAACTCCATTTCATCTAGGGTGTTGTTTATTTCCGCAATAACTTTCTTGATATTTTGTTTGGAAGACCTGTCCACTTTTGATAGTGGGGTGCTAAAATCCCCTACTATAATTGTGTTGCTGTCAATATCTTTCTTGAATTCCTCTAAGATTTTCTTTATCTATTTGGGTGCTCCTATGTTGGGTGCATATATATTTATGATGTTAATGTCTTGGTGAATTCTTCCCTTGAGTATTATGAAGTGACCTTCTGGGTCTCTCTTTATAGCCCTTTTCTTGAAGTCTATTTTGTATGATATGAGAATTGCTACCCCAGCTTTTTTTTCTTGTCCATTTGCTTCGAAAATTTGTTTCCAGCCTTTAACTTTTAGTCTGTTTAGGTCTTCTGTCCTGAGGTGGGTCTCTTGTAGGCAGCATATGTGTGGGTCATGTTTTCTTCTCCATTGAGCTATTCTGTGTCTTTTGCTTGGAGCATTTATTCCATTTATGTTTCAGGTTATTATTGATAGGTACTTATTCATTGCCATGTTTGTACCTGTGTTCCTCTCTGTCTGTCTCTTTTCCTTCCTTTCCTTAAAGCAGTCCTTTTAGTATTTTTTGTAGGGCTGGCTTGGTGGCAGCATATTCTTTTCAACTTCTTTTGTCTTGAAAGCTCTTTATTTGGCCTTCTATCTTGATTGAGAGACTTGCTGGGTAAAGTAGCATTGGTTGTAGACCTCTGGTTCTCATTACTTGGAATATTTCTTGCCATTCTCTTCTTGCTTGGAGTGTTTCCATTGAGAAGTCAGTAGCTAACCTTACTGGGGCTCCCTTGTATGTTACTTCTTTTTTCTCCCTTGCTGCCTTTAAGATTTTCTCTTTGTGTTGGAATTTTGCCATTTTGATGATGATGTGTCTTGAAGTGGGCATATTTGGGTTCCCCTTGATGGGGACTCTCTGTGTTTCCTGGATTTGTGTGAGTTTTTCTCTCATCAAATTAGGGAAATTTTCTCTCATTACTCTTTCAAATACATTTTCCATCCCTTGTTCTTCTTCTCCTTCTGGTATTCCTATTATTTGGATATTATTACATTTCATATTGTCTTGCATTTCTCTTAATCCCTCTTCATTCTTTCTGAGCCTCTTTTACCCTTCCTGTTCTTTCTGTGAGATGCTTTCTACTTCTTCCTCCAACTTACTAATGCAATCTTCTGTCTCATCTACCCTATTTTTAATGCTTTCTACTGTGTTTTCCAATTCAGAAATCATATACTTCATTTCCTGTAGGCCCTTGCTAATAGATTTCATTGCCTTTTTCATGTTGATATAGTGTGGGGTGAGATTGTTATAGCTCCCCTGTAGTTTCTGGTAGCTCCTTGTGAGCTCTTTGAATTTCCTGATCACCAGTGCTTTGAATTCAGTATCTGATAGGTGACTTGCCTCTATTTCATATAACATTCTTTCCGAGGGTTCCTCCTTTCCTTTCATTTGGGGATTGTTTCTCTGTCTTCCCATTGTCTGTGAGACTCTTCTTTTTAGGCTCAGCTTCTTAGATTAATCTGTTTTGACACCCTGGGTTTATGGTGTGAACTTCTGTGGTGGAATAACTGTGAATTTCAGTGGTGCAGTCTCTTTCAGTTAACCTGTTGTTCTGTGCTTCCACCTACTCAAATATGCAGCAACTTTTGGCTTCTCTCCTACAGCAAAGAGCAATTTGTCTCTCTGACTCTACTATTGGGAGGCCTCTTCTATGGGTCCAGCTCTGGTCTTTTCATATTTTAAAGTTGATTGTGACTGTTGTGGGTAAAAGAAAGAAAAGACAAGTAAAGGAATAAAAGGAAGAGAAAAAAAGGGTAGGGGAATAGAAGAGCAATAAGTTTAGAAAGAAAAGAAGGAATAAAAGAGAAAATCTGAGAAAAGAGGACAAAAGTATCGAAAGATGAAACAGTAATAAAATGTAAAAGAAATAACAGATTACTTGAAAAAAGCAAAAAGATCAAGAAAAGGAATGGAAAAAGAAAGAAAAGTAAAAAAAAAGAATAAAAATAAAGTAAAATAAAGAGAAAGAAAAAAACCCCAAAACAACAAAAAAAGGAAATGTCACTTGTTGGTTTCAAACAAGCTGAACCGGTTTTTCTGGCAGTTGGCTGAGGGTTGATTGTTGTGATTTTTCTGCCAGGCCTCTCTCAGGAGCCAGACACTTGGCACCTCTTCCCAACTCCCTACAGTGGGGAACTAGGACTTCCTCACAGCGCTCCCCTCCCAGGGGTTACCACCAAGGGCTGGATTGCAGTAATTGCAGGCGCCTGAGCCGGCCTAGTTGCCTGGTTCCCTGGGGATTGAGCACAGACCTGCTCTCGTTGTGTGGGGTAGCTCTAGGCCCTCTGCCCAATCTCAGGTTTGCTGCCAAGCTGGGTGTGGAGCAGACCAGGCTGTTGTGTCTATTGGATTTAGAGCCCCAGGCTGTACCTATCGGTTCTCCTGGGCTGGCAACCACAGAGTCCTCGGTTGGGGCCCTTTGTCCTCAGCACCCTGTCTGCAAACTCTATCAAACAAGTCTCTCCTGGCACCCCACCTTGCTTGGCCAGAAAGGGAGGGCGTTGAGGGTCTCAGCTTTTTCCTCAGGACCCCTCAGTGCCCGGGGCTTCCAGATAGTCCGAGGGGGATGGACTGGAAGCCGGGAGCCGATCTGAGGACTGGGAGCCGACCTAGAAACTCTGTGCGCAGGTCATGGCATGCTGCATGGTGTGTACTGATCCCCCGAACTGTGAGCGGGCTGAAATACCTTCTGCTCCTGTGTTTGTCTGGGTCCCCTGGCCAACCTCGGCAGAAAAATCCTAGGGATGTAGCAGCTCAGGGAACCTGTCTGGGCACTGAACGCTGTCCCAGGCGCTGTCAGGCACTCGCCCAGACACACTGCACACCAGGTGCTGGACCCCCAAATTGTGCGCAGGCTGAAATCCCCTCTGCTCCCCTCTGGTTGGGCCACTTGGCTGGTCCCGGCAGAAAAATCTTAGGGAGGGAGCTGTCCAGGCACTGAACGTTGGCCCAGGTGCCATTGGGCACTGCTCCCCCAACCATGTGCTGGTGGAGATCCCTGCTATTACTCTTTGCTCCATCCCCAAGACTACTGTACCGCTGCTGTGTACCTATTCTCTGCTTGCTCCATGACCATCGAGGTTTCTGGTCTCTTATTTTCATATATGCTTGGCAACTGCTGGCTTGCTGGCTTCTCCTCCGATCTGACAGGTTTCTCTCCCTTTTGTACTAGGAGCTGGTATCTGCTCCGTCCTACTCCATCACCATCTTGAAAGCCAAAATCCTTTATTTTCTTTTTTTAGCCATAAATTAGCTATGATCTTTTATGGAAATATGCATGACACAGTGAGAGGCATTTTTATTCAGGGAAAACAAAGGATCGGAGTGAAACATTCTTGAGCCATGACTAACTAAAAATATAAGATCAAATAAATAAATTTTAGAATGTGAATCTGAATAGTAAAACAGATTCCATTTAAAGGATCGAGGTTGGAGAGTGAGGATGGCAGGGGTGGAGGAGAATGGAGGGAGTAAAATGGAGACAACTATACTTGAAAAATTAAATTAAAAATAAACTTAATGGAAAAAATAAAGGGCTTATAACACGTGAAACTGATTAACCTGGAATCTAACTAATAAAATCTCAGGCTACATAATCTTAGTAGCAAGGTTAAATACTACAAGACTAATATATCACAAGAATTAGTCTCCCAATCTATTTCAGCTTCCTACAGATTATTTTTTTGTAATTTATTGTAGTTCAGGTAGATTCATCCCCATTTTCCCCTCACCATGCCTCTGCATGCCAGACATTCCCTCTTCCCACCTACGATCTTAACCCACTTTGGTTTTCTCCATGTGTCCTTTATATCTGTTCCTGAAGACCACTCCCAATTTTACCCCATTTATTCTCTCCAACCTCCCTTCTAGGTATTGTCAGATTGTACTTAATTGCACTGCAACTTTGTTGTGTTTCCATCATAATTGGATGCTTCACCTTATCAAATGTTTTTTCCATATCTATTGACATGATCATGTGCTTTTTGTCTTTCCTTTTGTTTATGTGATGTATTACATTTACTGATTTGAGAATATTGTACCATCCTTGCATCCCTGGGATGAATTCCACTTGGTCGCGATGTATGATCTTTTTAATGTACTGTTAGATGCGGTTTCCCAATATTTTGTTGAAGATTTTAGCATCTATGTTCATCAGCAATATTGGCCTGAAGTTTTCTTTGTTTGTTATCTTTATCTGGTCTTGGGATTAGTATAATGCTGGCTTCATGAAAAGAACTTGAGAGTCTTCTATCTTCTTGGATTTTTTGGAATAGTCTGTGAAGGATAGGGGATAGCTCTTTCTTAAATGTTTTTGTGAAAATATCCTGCGAAACCATCTGGTGTAGGACCTTGGTGCACTGGGAGGTTTTTGATTATTGCTTCAATTTCATCTGCTGTTATCAGTCTGTTTGGGATTTCTGCTTGTTCTTCATTCAGTTTTTGTGGGGGAGCTCCTCCCAGCAAAGTTCTCCCTGCTGCCTTGGATGAACAAAACTTGCTTGGATGGTTTAAAGCCAGCAGGAGCCTTTTTTTTTTTCTTCCTTCCCCGACACCCACAAGTGAGGCATTAAGACCTGAAGCTGTGAAAGGACCAGAGTCAGCACCAAAGAAGGCTCATCCCAACAATTGAGAAACTGAGACAAATTCACTTTGCTATTCCAAGAACATGCAAGCTATATTTGTACTATTATTATTTTTCAATATTTTACTTTTTATTCATATTTTTGTTTCTCTTCTTTCTGTGTAATTTTGTTTTGTTTGTTTAATTGTACTGTTTGACTTGTTTCCCTTGTTCTCTCTTTCATAGTGTATTTTTAATTTTCCATCTATCAAAGGTCAAAGCAATGGTTATAAGGAAGCTTTCTTCCTGGACAATGCTCCATGGTCAGGTAGACCAGTTGAAGTTGATAGTAATCAAATCAAGATATTAATTGAGAATAATCAACATACCATGCAGGAGATAGTCAATACACTCAAAACATACAAATCAATAAAGTCATTAGTAAAAATAAAAAATGTGTCTTTTATTTTATCGAAAAAACTAAACTAAGGTATTTGGCCAACTCCAAAGTAGTAACAGCAGAGAATTAACTCAGCCTCTGATCCTGCCTTTTCCCTTGCAAATGGCAAACTGCACCCAATGGATACAAACACACTGATCCAGTCACAAGAAAACTATTGTAATAAAATACCCATTCGCAAACTTTTTAAAAAAATCATGAAATAGTGAATGTGTTCCAGGCAAGATCTAAAAATCTTTAATTAAAATCAATATAGACTTCCACCAAGATGGAGGCGTAGGTGGAAACAGTTTGCTTCCTCACACAACCAAAGCTAAAAACAACAAAGTTTTAACAACAATAAACACAACCTAACCACAGAAAATCGAACAATTTGGAGTCTGAAAACAACATACTGCTCAGCTAAACTGGTGAGAGGGGCGAAGCCAGCAGCGGAGCAGGTCGGGCAAAAAAGTACCCCTGACCTGGATGGCGCACAGGCAGCCGAGAACACTGATCACAGGTATGGGGTAGCTACGGGAAGGCGTGGCGCGGCTGGCTGACCGCAGTCCCGCATTTGTGTGCAGATAAACCAGTGAAGAAACAAGCACTGAGAGAGACCGAGCAGGCCCCAGAGCAGGGCGGCGGGCTCGCACATTTGCTCTCAGATAAATAGGCGGGGGTGAGCAGTGAGGCAGACCTGGTGAGCAGAGAGGACCACCATTGCTCCCTCTCTGACCCCGCCCCCACATACAGCATCACAAACCAGCAACCTGGGTGGCCCCGCCCTGGGGAACACCTAAGGTGCCTCTCTTCATACATAACAGGAACAAACAGATCTAAATATGGTTCAAGAATAACTCAGAGCTCCAGAGCCAATAAATCTAAGCGATGAAGAAATAGCCAAACTTTCAGATGCACAGTTCAAAACACTGGTGGTCAGGATGTACACAGAACTGGTTGATTTTAGTCACAAATTAGAAAAACATATGAAGGCTAAACTAATTGAAATGAATGAAAATACACGGGAAACCAATAGTAATGGAAAGGAAACTGGGACTCAAATCAAGGGAGTGGACCAGAAGGAAGGAAAAAAAAATTACCAAACAGAAAAATATGAAGAAACAAGAATTCAAAAAAATGAGGAGAGGCTTAGGAACCTCCAAGATATCTTTAAATGCTTCAACATCCAAATTATAGGAGTACCAGAAGAAGAAGAGGAAGAGTTATGAGTGGAAACATTATTTGAACAAATAATAAAGGAGAACTTCCCCATTCTAGTAAAGGCAATAGACTTCCAGGAAATCCAGGAAGCTCAGAGAGTCCCAAAGAAGTTGGATCCAAGAAGGAACACACCAAGGCACATCATCATTACATTAGCCAAGATGAAAATGAAGGAGAGAATCCTAGAAGCAGCAACAGATAAGGGGACAGTCACCTACAAAAAAGTTCCCATGAGACTGTCAGCGGATTTCTCAAAAGAGACCTTACAGGCAAAAAGGGGCTGGAAAGAAGTATTCCAAGTCATGAAAGGCAAGGACCTACATCCAACATTGCTGTATCCAGCAAAGCTTTCATTTAGAATGGAAGGACAGATAAAGTGCTTCTCAGATAAGATCAAATTCAAGGAGTTCATCATCACCAAGCCCTTATTATATGAAATGATAAAGGGACTTACCTAAGAAAAAGAAGATAAAAAAGATGAACAGTGAAAGGACAGCAAACTCACAGTTATTAACAACCACACCTAAAACAAAAACAAACTAAGAGGACAGCTAGATCAGGAGCGGAACCATAGAAATGAAGATCACATGGAGGGTTAGCAACAGGGGAGTGGGAGAAGGAAAAGGGGGGAGAAGGTAAAGAAAATAAGTAGCAGACAGTAGATAGAAAATAGATAGGGGGGTTACTACTTCCGCCAAGATGGAGGTTTAGCTGGATGTGCCTGCCTCCTCACACAACCAAGTTTAGGGACAACTAAATATTAGCATCAGAAAACACAACCAGAACACGGAAAACTGAACTTTTCGGAAGTCCGCTAACAACAAATTCTTCAGCCCGACCGGTAAGGGGCAAAACCGGCGTCGGGTGAGGACTTACAAAGGAGGGCTCGGTCGGACCGGGCGCGGAATCCAGACGCGCGGGTTCCAAACCCAGGATTGATCCTAGTGAGCCACCGAGCAGCCCACCGGGGGAGCGACTACAGAGGACACAGTGGGGAGGCGGTGGCAGCAAGTTGACTGTGGTTGCCTGGTTGCGCGCGAGTGAGGGAGTGAGCGGTTGGACCACCCTGCGGCGCGCCATTTCCCCGCTCTGACCACGCCCCCACATACAGGGCCCAGCGACCTGGGACTCCAAGGCACCGCTTGTCCCACTTAAAGGGCCAGAACAGACCAAAAATGTCGCAGGCAGAACTCAAAGCCCCAGAGATAAATCTAAATGACGAAGAAATAGCAAAACTCTCAGACGCACAGTTTAAAACACTGGTCATCACCTTCCTCACAGATCTGGTGGATTACAGCCACAAATTAGAGAAACATATGGAGGCTAAATTAAGGGAAATGAATGGAATTCCACAGGAATCCCATAGAGATGAAAAGGAAACTGGGACTCAAATCAATGGAGTGGACCAGAAGAAAGCAAATAATGGCCAAACAGAAAAGAGTCAAGGAGCAAGAATTCAAAGAAATGAGGAGAGTCTTAGGAACCTCCAGGACATCTTTAAACGCTCCAATATCCGAATTATAGGGGTACCAGAAGGGGGGAAAGACACAACCACCAGTGGAAAAACTATTTGAACAAATAATAAAAGAAAATTTCCCCAATCTGGCAAAGGAAATAGACTTCCAAGAAATCCAAGAAGCCCAGAGAGTACCAAAAAAGTTGGACTCAAGAAGAAACACACCAAGGCATATCATAATTACATTAGCCAAAATTAAAATGAAGGAAAGAATCCTGGAAGCAGCAAGAGCTAAGGGGACAATCACCTACAAAGGAGTCCCCATCAGACTGTCAGCAGATTTCTCAAAAGAGACCTTACAGGCAAGAAGGGGCTGGAAAGAAATATTCCAAGTCATGAAATCTAAAGACCTACAACCAAGATTGCTCTACCCAGCAAAACTTTCATTTAGAATGGAAGGACAGATAAGGTGCTTCTCAGATAAGACCAAATTCAAGGAGTTCATCATCACCAAGCCCTTATTATATGAAATGTTAAAGGGACTTATCTAAGAAAAAGAAGTTAAAGAAACATGAACAGTGAAAGGACAACAAACTCACAGTTATTAACAACCACACCTAAAACGAAAGCAAACTAAAAGGACAGCTAGAGCAGGAGTGGAAACATAGAAATGAAGATCTCAAGGAGGGTTAGCAACAGGGGAGTGGGAGGAGGAGATGGGGGGAGAAGGTACAGAAAACAAGTAGCATAGACAGTAGATAGAAAATAGATGGGGGGGGGGCGAGAATAGTATGGGAAATATAGAACCTAAAGGACTTGAGACACATGGACATAAACTAAAGGGGGGTAATGGTGGGGTTGGGGGGGCAGGGTGGAGGGGAATGGAGGGAGGAATAGAACAACTGTAACAGCATAATCAATTCAAAAAAATAAATAAATTTAATAAAAAAATTTTAAAAAAAAGAAAATAGATGGGGGGAGGGTAAGAATAGTATAGGAAATATAGAATCTAAAGAACTTGAGACGTGTTCATGAACTAAAGAGGGGGGAATAGTGGGAGAGGAGTGTGCAGGGTGGAGGGGAATGAAGGGGGAATAGAACAAATGTAATGGCATAATCAATAAAATAAAAAATATATTTTAAAAATCAATATAAAATTATCATAATTGATAAAAACACCAGTGTCTTCAGTACGACCCATATTTGATAATTTAATGCAGGTTTTGTCCTCCAAAGCATTTTTATTTTGTCCTCACTTGTATTTCAGTGACCCAAGAATAAGTATTGAAAGTTCAGGTAGAAAAAAAGAAAAGCTCCCTTGCTATGAACCTAAAACTGCTCTAAAAAATAAAATTTATCTTAAAAAATACATAATACCTATAGCACTACTCATATAATAAAGTTTTAATGCCTCAAAATATCTAAATATGAGATTTAAGACAGCTAGGATTCTGTCATCTGAAAGCTCTACCCACCTGCTAAAATTAATGGTCTTTTAAAAAGTTATTTTATTCTTGTTCAACTACAGTTGTCTGCATTCCCCCCATACCACTCCACTCTACCCCACCCAAACCCCCCTCCTTCCCTTCCTTCCATCCTCTATCTTTCCCCGCATTATCATCCCCACCTCCTCTCTGGTTACTGTCAGGTACTACTTATTTTCAGTGTCTCGGGTTATATTTTCCTCACTTTATTCTTTTGTTGATTCTTTTCCAGTTAAATATCAGCTCATATGGTATTTAACCTTTACTGCCTAGCTTATTTCACTTAGCATAATGATCTCCAGTTCCATCCATGTTGTCTCAAGGGGCAGGAGCTCCTTCTTTCTTTCTGCTGCTTAGAATTTCATTGTGCAAATGTACCACAGTTTTTTGATCCACTCATTTGCTGATGGGCACTT